GTGTGGGCAGCCAATCCTATGTTCAAACACTGAGTAGCAGGTCACAGAATGAGTTGTTGCCAGTGCCTAATGCCTCTGCTTCCTATCTCCCTGGATGATCCCATACATCAGTATGCCTGACATCACCCAGAGTGTCTGATGTGTGCCATACTATCTTCAAGTGGCTTATGTTCTGGCAGGCAAGATTGACAATGTGGGGGATTTCCTCAGGAACAAGATGAGAATTCCCCGAGCTCGTGTAAAATCCTTCATTAAGATGAAAGTATTTAATAGATGCAATGTGGTTACAAGCTAGGAAAAAAAGCCTTTTCCTCTGTGCTTGGCTCTGAGGCTTGGGGAAAATGCCTGGGTCCTTGGGACAACAGCCATCATTTAGCTGTCACTTTTCCTGTGCCTGGATAGGTCAAGGAAGGATTTGTTGGGTAAAGTCAGGTCTTCCTGGAAAAGAGGACTTTTGTTGGTGGCCCATATGTTCATTGTCAATTCTGGTTCACATTGTCTAGTTTTGTAATTTAGCTCATGTTCAAGTTTCTCATCCGGAGTCTAGCAAAGTCTTACTATGCAATACCTAGCACTGAGGACTTCTTTATAGAGAGTAGAGGTTTATCTAGCTCACAGTTCTGGAGGCTGGATCAGATAGTTGTATCTGGTGAAGCTTTGGGAGAAAACTACAAGAAGAGCCCCTGTTCTTCAAGGGCCCTTGACCCATTCCTGTGAGAATCAATCCAGCACTGTGAGCACAGCATTTATCTCTTCACACCACCAGAGTTCAACATGGGATTAGAGGGTTCTAACCCAAATCAAAACATCAAAGTAGGCAACTCCTTTATGTCTCTAATGTGTCTATTCCATCTGCTACTCTAGCTATGTTTTAGGAAAAAGGTATTTCTAGATACAGCGTGGTAAGCCAAGTGTAATGGGACTGTATGGACCACCCCTTCAACTGGTAGAACTTAAAGGTATGATTCTCATACAAAGCCTGAGCAGTGAACAAACAAGGCTACCAGACCAGGAAGTGACAAGCCCTAGATTTTTGGTCACCTGAAGTCCCAGCTGTCTACTCCTTGGGCTGATCATCAGTATTGGTACATCACTGAGACTCACTTGGAGGCTGTGTGTGGAGAGGAAGTGGGCAAGTCCAAATGGTTCATACTTCATGTCCCTAGCAAAGAAAAAGGGCTATAGTATGTTTCAGATTGCTGATTTATTAGGTGAGTTCATTCTTTTTCTTTTCTTCAGCATTTATTTTGTGCAAGGAAGGTCATCTTTAAACTAACAGAGTAGACTAAATCTGTGACTTTTTTGTGGGTATTTTGTAAAGGTTTATTTTTGGATTTTACTCTAAAGCCTCCTCAAAAATCACAATGGACATGGATCAATTGCCTCTGACTAAGGGAAGTTTCATTTGCTCAGGATTTCCTCTGGAATTAACAGGTCTCAGTCTGTAGCTTTATTCCTGTTGTTGTCTTTCTCCTCACACTCATCCCCACCCTTAACTGAACATGAACCTTCGTTGTACCTTTTAAGTTAGACTCTGCTTTGTCTGGTGTGAGTCCTGGTTATCTCTAGACCCCAATGATTTTCTTTTGTATTCCTGTTCTCCATCCTATATGCCCATATTTAGAACCTGTCTTTTTTCCTTGCTTCCTATAATTCTGAGCAAAGTGTTCATGCTTGTGTGTATAATGCGAAGATGATGGATGGGTGAGTGGATGTATTCCTTCTCCCCACCCCCTCCTTTCTCTCTTGATTATAGCCTTTCTAACTGGGGTGAGGTAGAATCTCAGTGTTGTCATGATTTGCATTTCTTTTATGGATAGAAAAAAATAAGCATTTCTTCATGTGTCTATTGACCATTCTTATTTCTTCTTCAGAGAAGTCTCTCTTTAGCCCACTTATTAATTGGGTGGTTCTTTCTTTTTTTAATTTTTTTTTTATTTTTGTGGATGTGGGGCTTGAATTCCAGGCCTGGGAGCTGTCCTTGAGCTCTTTAGCTCAAGGCTAGTGCTCTACCACTTGAGCCTCAGCCCCATTTCTGGCTTTTTCTGCTTATGTGGTGCTGAGGAATCCAACCCAGGGCCTCATGCTTGCAAGGCAAGCACTCTACCACTGAGCCACCTTCCCAGCCCCTCTGGTGATTATTTCTTTGAAGATTTGTTGTTGGGGGATTTAATTTTTTGAGTTCCAGGTATATTTTAGATATGAGACCCTTGTCAGTTGTATGGCTAGTGAAGATCTTCTCCCAATCCGTGGGCTTTCTATTGATCTTGCCAGCTATGTCCTTTGCCATGCAGAAGCTCTGCAAATTCATGCAGTCCCATTTGTCCAACCTTTCTTTGATTTGTTGTATTTCTGGGTCTCTATCAAGAAAATTTTGGCCTGTGCCAAGGAGACCTAGGGTTTCTCCTATTCCATCCATTCCTTCCATATTTTCAGGGTGTCTGCCTTTATTTCGCCCTCTCCCATATTCTTTTTTTTTGGGGGGGGGAGTCCGGTCATGGGGCCTGAACTCTGGGCCTGGGCACTGTCCCTCAGCTCTTCAGCTCATGGCTAGTGCTCTACCACTTGAGCCACAGCACCACTTATGGCTTTTTTCTTTTTGTTTATGTGGTGCTGAGGAATCGAACCTAGGGCCTCATGCTTGCAAGGCAAGCGCTCTACCACTGAGCCACCTTCCCAGCCCCTTTCCCATATTCTTAACGAGAAGTTCCTCATCCTACACAGATTGCACAGTGAGTGAAATACTATGGTCATTTTCAACATAGTGTCTTGTACATCTCATTGTTGCAGTGGGTCCACCTGTATTCCTATTTAAACAATTTGTTTTTTTCCTTTCCCCTCCCCAAATTATACCAACATCAAATACAGTACTGTTGTTCTTCATGTATTTATAATGTACCATCTGATTTTTTTTTGTTTCTTTCTTATGTTCCTCCTGCATGGTATAACCCCTGTTTTCACTGTATTTGATGTCGGTGCCCTGCATCTTGTATATACATTTTTCTAATTTGGGGAGGGGAAGGGAAAAAACAAAATGATGAAATAAGGATACAGGTTGACCCATTGTAACAATGAGATGTACAAGACACTATGTTGAAAATGAACATAGAGGGGAGGGAGGGAGGAGTTGGGGATTTGGGGAGGGAAGGGATGGCAGGATAAAAACAAAGGAGGAGGTAACAGTGCTCAATAGGAAATGTACTGATTACCCTACTCATATAACTGTAACCCCTCTGTACAGTCTTTTTACAATAAAAATATATGTGGAAAAAGATAATAAAATATTAAAAATACAAAACAAAAAGAATATGGGAGAGGGGAGGTTGACCTGCTTTCTGACCCAAGTAGGGAAGACCAGTCACTCTGGGGAAAACTCAGCATTGCTGGAGCTGAAGTGTGATTTACTTGTACATTTGTGACTTGTCTCTCCTGCCTGTGAAGGATGGAGATACTGAGATTAGAGATTAGGATGGCTCAAACCTGTCTCTGGCATAGTACAGAGAGAATTACAGAGAAGCATGCTGGAGGGAAATTGGCACAAACGCTTACAGACAGGAGCCAGGACCAGAGTCTGGGAAGGAATGGAGCAAGATGGCAGCTGACTTCCATCCCAGAAGTCAGGAGGGAGGGGCTGGCTCAGGTGCTGCAGCGTGATGGTGAGTGAAGCTCTACGGCCTGCAATCCAGGAGGGCTGGTGGTTTGGGCAGCAGATTTCAGAGGAACAGTAAATAAAAAAGGAAGATGCGGGTGTGGTTTGGTGATGATGACAAGTAAAGATTGTGAGTGTAAACAGGTTTTAAAGGAAGTTTCTGGAGTGAAAAAGAAAAGGAAATGTGAAACAGTGGGGAATAGAGAATCAACAATTTTCCTGGGGACTGGGAAGGTGGCTCATGCGGTAGAGCGCTTGCCTTGCATGCGTGAGGCCCTGGGTTCGATTCCTCAGTACCATATAAGCATAAATAGCCAGAAGTGGCACTGCGGCTCAAGCGGTGGAGTGCTAGCCATGAGCTGAAGAGCTGAGGGACAGCGCCCAGGCCCAGAGTTCAGGCCCCATGACTGACAAAAAGAAACAAACAAACAAACAAAAAACAAAAAAGACAAAAACAAAAACAAAAAAACAGTTTTCTTGGACCTTCTAGGACCTGGTCCTTCCTGGACCTCTTGTACATCTCTTCCTTCCTCCATTCCTCTGTTTCTTGGTGGTACTGTCTCTCTACAATTCACATCAGCTGCAGCCATTTCTGAAGCCTGTCCTGGAGACAGGCTTAGGACAGGAAGACCTGGGATTCTACTCTGGTTTTGTGCTGTGCTATAATCCATATGCCTTTGATAGCTTGATGTGGTGCTGTGTCCTATTGTTTCAGTGTAAAGCGCATGGTAATTTGAGATTTAGTGTGTTTAGTCTAAGCAATATGCTTAGCATTGAGTTGGTTAGAGTGTTTTATTGAGAGTGTAATGAAAGGCTTATGTTTAGGCCTGTCAAGCCTTTTGTGTTACCAAGACCATGACTCAGACATGAAAAATTAGATTCTAAAATATTAAAAATCTTCCAAAGCAAGTAATGGATAATGAGGTCTCTATAAGACACAGTGGTATGAGAAACACAGTGAGCTATGTACCAAAAAACTAAGCGAGAGTATAAGGCCCTGAGTTCAAGATTTGAAAAATGAAGATGTGGTAGTACCTTATTTCTGATTCTCATGTGCTCCAAGCCGTGATCTTCCCTGATAGTTCAAATCATCTCTGTCTAGCAAATGTCAGGTAAATATGTTTAATCCAAATTAGTCTATGGTGGTCAAACTCTGCATTCTATACTCCCATGACTTGGGTTTCTAAAAGTGTCCTGCCCCGAAGGACTGCAGGACATCCATCTTTTAAACAACCAACTCATTTTTATGAGTATACAAAACCCTTGGTGTCCTTTCTTGGGGGTCTTAAAGATTGTGGGTAACCCCAGGGCTCTTCATTTATTCAACCCTTTGTTGTTCTTCCTTCCCCAGGTAAACACACCCCCTAAATATGGTGAATCATTCCTGAGAAGCAGAGCCACTTCCTACAGGTCAAGGCCTTCTCCAAGGTAACAGTGTTTTCCTGGCCTTTTCCCATTAATAAGCGAGGCCTTCCACCCTCAGCTTTAGATGCTTCTGTTATCTCTACCACAGTATTCAAGAAGTACTTCATATTTGCTGGCAATTATTTTCCTTGGGGAAGCTCTGAAGCCTTATCAGATTTTTATTTATTCATTTTGGTAGGACTGGAGTTTGAATTCAGGGCCTTGTACACGTTCATCCTGCTTGCTCGTCAGCTAGCACTCTATCACCTAGCACTTGAGTCATGCCTCCATACCTGCTTTTTCCTGGTTATGTAGGTGACAGAGTCCAGCAGACTTTTCTGCCTGGCTCATGTCAAATGTCTGTTTTCTAGATCTCAATGTCCTGAGTACACAGGATTACCTGCATGAGGTGTGGGTGCTCTGACGGATTCCTTCTTATTTTTGCTTTTTGATTTACACACAATATTTGTACCTATTTATGGGGTCCTTTGTAGCAATAGGACAGGATTATGCAGCAGTGAATTAGAGGACATGATGTTGAGTGAAATGACCAATACAAGACATATGTCACATGATCTCATTCATAATCGGAAACTCAAAACATGGATCTCTGAGAAGCGTAGGAATGTGGCTCCTAGTTGCTAGGAAGGGAACTGGGGAGAAGATCCAAGGAGGCGTTATCAGATATTTTGGGGGGCTGATGGTACTGGGATATAAATTCAGGACCTCACACTTACTATGCCAGTGTTCTACCAGTTGAGCCACACCTCTAGTTCTGTAATGGCAGGTTATTTTTGAGATCGCATCTCTTTTGTGAACTTGTTTTTGCTAGCACTAGTCTTAGAACTCCACCCTTCTGTTCTCAGCCTCCCAAGTAGCTAGGATCATGGACATGATTCCCCAGCATCCAGCTATCAGATTTCCTGACGTCACTGAGAGTTATGTTCACCCGCGTTCCCAGGTTATTTGAGGAGTGCTGTAGCTGTAACTGTGAGGTGACAGCTCCCAGAGGGGTTGGAGCTGTCCTCCACTCATCCCAATATTACTGTCCATTTCCACTGTTTTGTCTCACATTCAAACTGTGGATTTCTGCACAAGACTGCTGCTCCCAGCCCAGGACACCTGGGCCCTGTGGTAGGCAGTAGGTGACATCCTCTGATCATCCCTAAGCTGTCCTAAACTGATCCTGCCTGACCTTGACCCCCATTAGAGAATTAGGTTGAGAATCACTCTTCTTTGCTCCATATGGGTTTAGTTTTTTCTGCTGACTGGACCAACCCTTGTCCTTCTCATCCATTCCTCCATGGCAATCTGCCTCCCCTCTCATCTCCAGTTAATATTCCACACATGTGTCAAAACTCTCTATAAAAGAAAAGCCAGGCACCAGTGACTCATGCCTGCAATCCTAGCTATTCACAAGGCTGAGATTCTCCCTGTGGATGCTTCTTGTCACAGTTTAACTCTCAACATGACCACTTCTCCTATAGCCAGTGAACTCCTTAAGCCAAGCCTGTGACCATTACTTCCATTTACACTCCCAAGGCCTACACTAGACATTGAATATACAGTTGTTCAGTGAGGCAGTAATCAAATACAAAAATAAATGTTTAACTGATATTATTTAACCAGAATTTCTACTTGTCTTTCAAGCCCTGAGTGATTGATACTAACCAGCACGACAGAGAGACACTGTTTTAAGTCTAATGAATGAGTCAGCTCATCTATTCTCACAGCAACAGTTAATGCCAGTCAATGCATGCGACCCATTTGGTCACATGGGAAACTGAGGAATAAAAACTGAACTCTACCTAACATGCTATTTGTGTGTAGGTACTTTTTTGTGCCAATACTGGGACTTGAATTCAAGGCTTCATGTCGCATGGCTTTTTCACTCAAGATTGGTACTCTACTATTTAAGCCACACTTCCCCTTACAACATACTGGTTAATTGGAGATAAAAGTCTCATAAATTTTCTGCTTTGAATGATAATCCTTAGAGGTCTGCCTCCTGAGTAGTTAGGATTACAGGCATGAACCACTAGCACTTAGCTATAGGAACTTTCTGATTTGTGCAACCTGTCCACTACTGGGATTGCAAAGTCTGGCTTGGCTCCATCTTAGAATTTTTTTTTTTTTTGATCTGGTCGTGGGGCCTGAACTCTGGGACTGGGCGCTGTCCCTCAGCTCTTCAGCTCAAGGCTAGCACTCTACCACTTGAGCCACAGAGCCACTTCCAGCTTTTTTCTTTTTGCTT